ATATATATACACACACACACACACACACACACAAAAAGAAAAACAAGTAGAATAGAAAGAATAGAAACCTAGTGTTAGTTTTTTTTTTTTTTTTAATAAAAAAAAAGAAGATAAATAGATAAAGTAGAATTAAAATAGAATAGAAAGTGCTAGAGTTAGAGGGTCAGATAAAGATGGAACAGATGTGTTTTAGTCATTTCTTGAAGATGGCTAAGGACTCAGCTGCTCGGATTGAGTTGGGCAGGTCAATCAGGTTAATCAGTTTTTACACCACAAATGTGAGCAATGCAATTGCACAACTACAGCAGCAAAACTTGTACTTTCACACTTGCAGTGTTTCTGCTGCAGTAATAATGACTGCTGTGCTCTTGACATTAAATAAAACAATTTCTAGGTAACTTGGGTGAGAACTTGTAATAATACTAATGATTATTTTGACAGTAATTTTTATATTATTTTATTTTTAATTATTATTGTCCCTGTTTAAAAATTACGGTTGCTTAAAAAGCTGCAATCTAATTGTATTAACTTGAAATAAACCTGATCTCAAATAGGTTTGAGACCTGTTGCTACGACAACAACTCTGAGATGAGTTTCGAAGAATGGAACAATATAGGATCGAGTCAAATTGTCAACAAATACAGATAACTCAGTAACCCATGAACAAAATTAGAATTTTTTTTTTAAAAATCAAGTCTCCCAAAAGGGAAGAAGCCACTATAGATTTGTTCCTAATATTTTTCTGTTCTTAAATAAAAGTCTATGGCGGCCCATAGAGCTGTTTGGTAAAAATTGAGGACAGTGTGAACATTAACCATAATGTTTATAAAAAAAAAAAAATGCTAATAGCTTTTGATTCGTTTTTTTCGTGAGACTGCTCTTGATAGATTTCTTGGATCATGCCGACAACATCGATACCAATTATGCCATAATTGGCCAAACTTCCTGTCTGCCATTTTGATTGTCTTTGAAGCCTACCTTTTTTGAACTCCTCCTAGAATGCAGGGGCGGAGCCAGGGGTAGCCGTGGCCACCACTGACCTAAGCTTGGCCACCACACTCAAAACTGCAGTTTTTGTCCCTTTTTTTTTCTTGACAAGAAATGCATTTATTAAGGCACGGAACCACCGTATCTCTTTATGACCACATCAAACGGGAGACTTTTCATACGTGTAATTCAACTTAGCCTCAGCGCCAGGCGCAAGTCAAACGAGCGTGGAAAGGAATGTGCCAAATGAGCTTCAGTAGAACAACAGTGAACTGCGGTCTGGTGAGATGATGTTAGACTATATGTCAGTAAAACAAACTTTCCTGTCCTGACAGCTGTTTTACTGTGCTCACGGCGCACACTCTTCAACTTTACGCGAATATAAGGCACGAATATAAGGCGCACGTTCTATATCGCTTCATCATAAATAAAGCTAACAAGAAACTATGAACATACAATGTAGTTCTGTCATCAGTTAAGCCATGAAATTACCAAAAAGGCGATTAGTGCATTCATGTATGTATAGCATCACATTAAAGAACGTCTCTCAAATGCATGTACTAAAGTATTGTGCAATTCGAGATCACAATATAAGGCGCAAGCTGATGTTTTTTTTTTTTTTTTGTAATTTAATGCACAAGTAAATAGGAACACATTGCACTTATACTAGAAAACATGCGCTATTTATTATTATAATTTTTTTTACAAACGAAAATTTTATTAAAATACCTGGAGGTGGGGAATAATACACAAATTGTTATATTCACTCCGCATTACTTGATCTAATTCACAAATATCTCAATTACAATTTAGTAGAAATTAATTGTATTCAGTTGTGTTTTAGGCACTAAAACAGTCCAATACTTTAAAGTCAATCACATTTTTATATTGAAATAAATGTAGATTTCTGTGCCACCCCAGACTCGTTGCTGGCCTCTCCCTGGCCACCCCTATAAAAACATCCTGGCTCCGCCACTGCTAGAATGTTGGTTTGAGTTTCACCAAACTCAACTCAGATCATCTGAGGCTGTATCTTTGCAAATCTTAGACATATTGACACCAAACTTTATGTGTGTCATTGTCAACCCACACTGACCACACCACATCAATTTGGTAAGAGCCCACCTATTGGTCTAAGTGATATACTGTTTAATCATATTACTAGCAGTGCTGTATGTTAACTTTAATTTAACTATGTTAAAGGTCCCATATTGTCAAAACTGAAATTTCCTGGCTTTTTTCATGATAACTGAGGTCTAGGGGCTATTTAACTACCATATAAGTTTCAAAACAGTTAGTCCACAGTAAAATGCACACAGCCTGCATAAAGTAGCTGTGATTTTTCACGAACCGTTGTGACTTTCGTAAAAAGTTGACGTCAGAACTACACAGTCACCACCTTCAGT